GTGGGGTCAGGGTGGGGTCACGGGGCCAGTGTGGGGTCCATGTGGGGTCACGGGGTCAATAGGTTGAGGGTGGGGTCATGGGGTCAATGAGAGGTCATGGGGTCAGGGTGGGGTCAGGGTGGAATCACGGGGTCAATCAGGGGTCAGGATGGGGTCAGGGTGGGGTCACAGGACTGTAGGTCATTATGGGATGTCATTGATGATAGCAGATCATTATGGGATGCCACGAAGGGCTGTGGGTCATTAATGGCAGCAGGTCATTATGGGATGTCATTAATGATAGCAGGTTATTATGGGATGTCATGAAGGGCTGTGGGTCATTGATGGCAGTGGGTCATTATGGGATGTCATTGATGACTGCGGATTATTATGGGATGTCATTGATGGCAGCGGATCATTATGGGATGTCATTGATGACTGCAGATCATTATGGGATGCCACAAAGGGCTGTGGGTCATTAATGGCAGTGGATCATTATGGGATGCCATTCATGACAGCGGATCATTATGGGATGTCATGAAGGGCTGCGGGTCATTAATGGCTGTGGGTCATTATGGGATGTCATTGATGACTGTGGCTTATTATGGGATGTCATTGATGGCAGTGGGTCATTATGGGATGTCGTTGATGACTGCGGATCATTATGGGATGCCATTCATGGTAGCAGGTTATTATGGGATGCCACGAAGGGCTGTGGGTCATCGATGGCTGTGGGTCATTATGGGATGTCATTGATGACTGCGGATTATTATGGGATGTCATCGATGGCAGTGGGTCATTATGGGATGCCATTATGGGCTGTGCATCGTTAAGGGCCGTAGGTTATTAATTATGGGATGTCATCGATGGCAGCGGGTCATTATGGGATGCCATGAAGGGCTGTGTGTCATTAATGACTGTGGCTTATTATGGGATGTCATTGATGGCAGCAGATTATTATGGGATGTCATTACGGGCTGCGGGTCATTGATGGCAGTGGGTCATTATGGGATGTCATTGATGACTGCGGATTATTATGGGATTCCACGAAGGGCTGTGGGTCATTATGGGATGTCGTTGATGACTGTGGATTATTATGGGATGCCATTCATGACAGCGGATCATTATGGGATGTTAGAAAGGGCTGCGGGTCATTGATGGCTCTGGGTCATTATGGGATGCCATTCATGGTAGCAGATTATTATGGGATGTCATTACGGGCTGTGGGTCATTAATGGCTCTGGGTCATTATAGGATGCCATTAATGGCAGCGGATTATTCTGGGATGTCATCGATGACAGCGGATTATTCTGGGATATCATCGATCACAGCGGATTATTATGGGATGCCCCCAAGGGCCCGGTGCCGTACGGTCGCTGTCCGTCGCGGCGGTGCTGAAATCGACGCGGATCCCGCAGTTCCCAGCGAAGGCCATTTCCAGCACGCAGCTCAGCACGCCGCCGTCGCTCACGTCGTGACCGGCCGACAGAGCGCGGCCTGGGGG